TTATAATCAGCTGTCGTCGCGCTTTCCCGGTAATCTATTCGAATGCGCATCATTCGCGGCTCGCACGCGCTCGGGAATAATTATTGCGGGAAAACGTGAAGGGGCGCGGTAACAAAGAGTCGCGAAGAGGCCTCGGTCTCGCGTACGGGACATATAATATACATAATTAAACGAGTTGATTGCCGGGGCAATTATATGTTGCGCGCGCGCGCGATATTAATTTCTCGCCCCGGTCATTAATTTACTGACCGACATCGCGCAGGAAAATCTATTCCGCGCACGGCGAACGAAAGTCGTCGGATTGGATGGTGACCCGGCGGCGAGTGGTAATCGACCCGCGGCAAAAAACCGCTCGATGGCCCGATAATTATTGGTAACAACGTACGATGTGGTTCGTTAAATCGCGGAACGGACTCTCGAGAGTTTCCTTCTGATTATGGCGAATCACGTGGGCACGCTATAAATTATCTATATCGGCGTTTTGTACACCTGCATCAGTATGGATCGAGTTTTACCCGTCGCGTAAGGATTTAATAAGATAGTGATTAAACAATTTATGTAAATCCAAACTTAGTAGCAAATGCACTATTAAAAGCTTGTGGTATTATTTTTTGCTGAACGAGCGAGGCGATTTGGCAAATGCGAATTTATTATAAACTATTCTTGAAAGAATTACTTAATTTTTAAATAACAGAGGCTCATACGATCAATAAATCATCTAACGTCAAAGGGGCTTAGAGCCGTAACAAGGTATTCTTGTTGATAATAATATTTCTATAAATTTTATATATATATATACTTATTGTTAATAATAATATTTCTGTGAATTTTTACATATACTTATACCAACTTTTGTTAGTGAACTGCGCGCCGATTTATAATATTTGTCGGTTTTGAAGCACAGCTTTAATTTTGTTGGGACAGTAGTTCCATATACTTCAATCGATAATCGATAATCGATTTAACTTTTTAATGCATTCCGATCACTAATCAGCATCCTTGTAATTATTTTATTTTTATTATCTGTTTAAGTAAGATTCAGGAAGGGATTTTCATTATAATCAAGAATATATTTCTATCGCGCGCACAATCTTTACCCTCTCGTATCATTTAATCATATCGATTATCCCACAACACGCAATATATATATATATATTAGCAAAGGATGAGACGTACAGAAAACTACACCGATAAATAATAAAGACAACAGAGAATAGTATAAGAAAAAATCACAGTTGCAAAAGTTGCTATTTACATACATCGGACGACTAATTACTAGAAATTATAATCGAACCTAGATCTTAATCACCCGTTAATGGACGCCGAGTCGTCAACACTCTACTTAATTGCCGTCGTTAATAATTAACGGCCGCGTTAGGTAGCTATTAAACGATTATCATTGCACGTATAATAATTTAAAAAAAGCTGTACATTACAGAGTCATACCGGGTGATTATATCAAATTAACTCGCCGTGCTTTCGCTGAGAAAGATTTCGAGAGAGTTCTCTCGGTTAATCGCATAAAATTATATGTATTAACAATATTAAAATTACGCGAGGGTGACAATCGTGAATACGTAATTGCGAATCGTAAGTACTTTATTCCGCGATTTCACGGCTCACGGCGTGGTGCAATTGAGAAGAACGATAAAATCATATATAGCACATAATGATATCGCTCGCGGCGCCAAAGGTAATTCGCTATCAACCAGTCAAGCTGTGTGTTGTCAAAAACGAGCTTCACACATGTTTGTGCATCACATCCCACCTCCATTAATGTTATTACACGTTCAGATCCGAGAAAAATGCGTTTACACTATCGCCATCAGAAAAATTCGCGTTTGTACTTTATCATAATGTCTGAAATACGAATTATTCTGCCAATTTTGAAGATAAATTCTGAAAGCTGATGTTTTTTTTCCAACATGTCTCGATATTGCAGAATAATACTTGATTATCGTCATCGCGATAATTGCTAATTAGTAATTATTAACTTCGCGTAGGGAAACCTTCGAAATAGAAAATTTGAAAGTTATCGTCGACATTAACGGCGCTTTAGTTATTGTCCTTAGATCACTTGACCAGTACAAGCCCGGTGTTTTTTACGCGCGAATCATTTTCACAGGTTGACACGCCGGATCGCCTTCTTGTCGATTTAGTCGCGGCACGGGTTCCTCGGTGCTTCTTACGCGCTACCTATACGGATGTTCGCAAGAAAATACACGAAGCAAATCGAAAGATTAACGCGATAATTCATTATGGTTGTAACTCGCTGGCTGGATCCCGAGGGGAAGGCAACGGCGGAGGGAAACGAGGCAAATCAGTGTGTAAAACAAAGTAAATGGGTTGGAGGGATGAATCAGATGTTAGATCAGAATTTTCACTTATTTCGAAAAACCTTCGGAAACTACTACCTTCAGGAAGTTACCCAGTAGTTACTCGCATCCTGTATCATTAAACTTTCTTTGATATAAGACTGATCATCATTAAATGCCGATCCCTCGCCCGCCGTCGGTATGCTACGAAACTCGCGCATTAAATCCAAACGTTGCGCTTTTAATTTATCGAAGCAGTATGATATGTATATGTGTTTTGCATGTGTGCGCGCGTCTTATTGTAATTATAAAAAATATTAATTACAATAAGTAAATAATTGCAATAAGTAATTAATTACAATAAGTAAAAAATATCTGGATATTAGTCAAAACGTGATTATTCAATATAAGTTTCCATAACGAGAAGAAAATATTAAAAAATTATAGTTCTAGGATATCGTGTGCTCATATTATATGCAAATGTACGTTCCAAGCGAATGATACGCGGAAATGTAACTAATGCAACACGCGGCTGCGAGAATTCTCTTTTGAAATATCAAGTTCATTGCCACCGTGCGATTATCCAGGTATTAATCTTCATCTACGAGTATCTTACGACGTTATTGTACCGGCTATGAGTGTAATCAACGTCCGGCAAAAAAAGGAAAGGAGGTGCTCCAAGTTTTTATGTTCCACGACAACAGTATCAAAGACAGGATTTATCATATCGGATAATTGACCATTCGGCTAATATATTTATCTCGTTCTAAAACGGATACGCAAAATATCGCGCGATTAACAACAAATTATCTCTTCAAATTGCAAATTGTTATTAACGTCAAACTACTAAAACGTGAAATCGTATCATCAGAATGCTAATTTCTCATACAAACGTCAATTAGCATTGATTTCATAAGTGATGTCATAGCTACATCCCTTCTTACGTATACTAGGCAATAGTTTTTTTCCCCTTTTTTTTCGTATCCTTTTTCCAACAATTTAATAGGAGATGAAGTATTAGCGTGCAAACGTCGTTTACTTTGTCACGAACATAAATCACGTGAGATGAATAATGACATAATAAACAACTGGTCGCAAACGAGACAATCAGTATCACTCGCATTAACTGTTATTGTAAAAACGATTATTTTAAAATTACTATCTTTTTAAGTATTATCATATCTATACTTATTAAAATTTATGCGAGTCTCATTAAATGTAAATTCATAAAAGTTTTGCACGCAACGTGCGTTTAAAAAAAAAAACTATCTCTTTAAAGTCTCAAAATAATACTTTTCGAAATAATTTCCTATTCGCTGCGGTAAAAACCGCGCAGTTATACGCGAACTATATTTATATCATGACTATTATACATTCGTTCTAATGCAAGTTTGTGGCGGAAATTAATGTGATAATGCAACACGCGCGATTTAGCTTTTTTTTCTTTATACAACGCGAGATTTGAGAAACTCAATCTGATTTACCGTGAAAGTTATGTATAAATTCTCCAAATATGATTGAAGCAATTTTCGTTTACATTCCGAAGATTCTCGGCAAGACGCAATAACATCCGTCATCGTATAAATATCACAAAGGAGAAATACCGCATCGTACGATCGGCAACAAACCAGTCGGGAAGCGGGGCCGCATGAGAAGCAACGGCAACAATAATCGGAATGAACTATTTGTCGTCGCGACGCGTCGATTATTTCGTAAAAGAAATTATACTAACGCCACAGATGTTTCCGACAGTTTTATCGCTCCGGCCGCCAAATAATTGTACGATTTTGACGTACAATACAACGAATACAATATTTGACAACAAATTAGCTGCAAGTTTACAATTTTTAATGCTGGACACGTCTCGAGTAAAATTTTTATCGCGAAATCGAATACATTTGTTGTCGTTTTAAGAAAATTATTAATTTGTTTTACACTTGCAGTGCCAAGTCTGCAAGAATTTATTTATTATTCGTTTTTAAATTATTTCGTTTCTAAATTAAGAAGAGACGGACATTAATTTCACCGAGAAATTTATCACAAAAAGTGCGACTCTTCAATTTTTCAATATTACAATTCCAATCCGCAAATCTTATAACTCCAAAACGACGAGTCCTCGAGAGGAAATCATTCACGCGATACATCTCCGATTTTGTGGTTTCTGATTTCGAATTAGTGTCGCTTTATTAAACAATCAAGATCTCCGCGTTTTCGGCGTGTCATTGAACGCATAAAGTTCTCTCGTGGAAATTGTACGACCTTCATATTTGGCGGACGGAATTTATTAGGCCCGTTTTATAATACATCGGATGTCGGAACGCAGCCAATAACAAACCCGTTCGTTTTCGCTGCACTTCTGAACCATAAGTTAGAATGAAAAAAAAATATATTTGTTTTATTCTAACCGAGATTCTAACTTTAAGTGCGGCGAAAACGAACTTGGCCTAATGGTCTAAAGAGAATTTCTTTTTGGCGAACGAATTCTTCTCATTGGAGCATCGGCTGCGTTCCAACATCCGACGTATATCATAGAACAGGCCTAAATGCGCGTTAGAAACTTTAGGCCTAAAAAACAAATCGGACACTTCGCTGAGACTCTCGCGAAAGAGAGACCGAGGAGATTCGAGCGTGGCAAAACGTGTGCGGAAGACAGGAGCTGCTAAATCGCCAAAAATCATCACTCACCTTACTCTGGACGTAGTCGAGGGCGAGCATGCAGTCGGAATATCCGCTCTCAGTCTTAATGGTGGTGCCACCCTGGCCGGGCCCGGTCGAGCAGAATCCGGAACCCACGACGCCGACCGGTCCCCCGAGGCCAGCTGCCGCCGCAGCCGCGACGCTGTCACGGTACCAGGGATACATCGAGAGCGTCCCGTCGAGAATCACCGTGTTCCTCTTTTCCCGAATCTTCTCTCTTCCGAACCTCGCTCGTCGGCAGCTTCGCGAGTTCCAAGCGAAATGTATTCACACTTCCCGGTCACACGTCACGTTTCTCGTACTCCCCTTGCCTTGTCGCGCTCTCTCTCTCTCTTTCTCTCTCTCGGCTTCGTTTTCTCTCCTCCGTTTTACTCTCCCGCGGCAATACGGACACGACACGCGGCGCGCGACATACACCTCACCGTCGATGGTATCACTGCACCGCGGATAGCGCGATATCGTCGCGGTATTACACGCCGCGCTCGCGCACAACGCGCGACGACGACAACAACTTTCCGTCGATCGGAGCGTCGAGGAACGATTCACTGGCATTCGCGTACGTGTACGAGCGTCCCGGGACCGCGCGCTCCCGGTAGACCCGCTCGCTCCGCGAGCGGAAGTCGCGTGCCGCACGTATCACCTCGGTGCCGAGACAGCCGAGAGCGTCCGATCCGTCCTCGGATCCCCGGCACGGTCATCGACGTTGACTCGCCACGCTGCCCGCCCGAGCGTGAACGCTTCTGACTTCTGACACCGGCCGCGCGTCGCCGTCGCTATCCGTGCTAGCTGTCTTCGCGAGCGTCTTCGATTTCGATATCCAGACGTAAACACTGCGCCGAGAGCCGAGACGGGGCGACCTTGCGCCGAGATTGAAACTCGTCGAGCCTCGAGCCCGGCACCGCGTGTCCGTCTCTCTCTTTCTCTCTTTCTCTTTCTCTCTCTCGGTCGACTAACTGTTTACCTTTTTTCGACGGTTCCGCGTAGAGCGCCTTTCCGAGATCGCCGCGCGCGAGGGCGCGCGAGGGAAGAGTTTAAAGCGCACTACTGTCCGACGTCAAACTCCGGCGGGATTCCGATCGCGGCGAACTTCGCGTCGAACTCGCTCGCGGGGACACGGAGGGCACACGCGAGGGCCCGCGCGCACGCGGGCGCGCGTCGCGCACCCGCTCGGCGACGCTCGTTCGTCGCGAGCTGTTGATGGAAACGCGAGCGCACCCGGCGTCTCCTCGAACTCCTCCTTCCTCCGCGCGTTACGCGGCCAACTTCACACTCTTCGACTCTTCTTCCTCGGCGAGGAGCTCACGCGCTGCCGATCGACGACGGCGGCGACGCGATTAAGCGACGTAACGCCATTCGTGCGTCATTCTTCCGCTCTCTCGCCTCTTGCCTCCTCTCCTCTTCTCTTCGTCCCGTTTTTCTTCCGCGACGCGCAGAGCGATCTCCAACTATCGCCCGGCGATCGTACCGTCGTCGATCGCCACCTCCGGAAGGCAGCAACGCGTCGCCGGCGGCTCGCCGCCAAGGCGCATAATAACTCGCGCGAATAACTCACTCGAGCGGAACGCCGCCTATATACCTAATGCCGGCGAGCGCGGCCGCGATCCGAGACCCGCCGCGCGACTCGCGCGCTCGCGGACCGCGCCATTGTCGCGCCCGTTGACGGAGCGGCGCCGAAAAGGAAGCTCTCGATCGCCGCTCGAAAAATGACCTCCTTTATCACCCGGTCACCCGTGCTTCCCTCGCGCTCTATTTCTCCCCTCCCGCTCTCCGTCTCTCTCTCTCTCTCTCTGCCACGCCGTTGACGAGCTCCGAACACTGGCCGTCGCACCTCCGCGACTTCTTCCCGGCGACCTCGCCGTGAACGCGTCAAACCCCCGTTTCCCTTTTTTTCTCTCTCGCGTGCCGCTGCCCGGCCCGGGGACGTGCAAAAAAGTGCAACCGCGGCAAAGCCCGGATATCGTGAACCGTGAACCGCGGACGCGGTTTCAGCACTGACGCGGGAGCCGCGATTCGAACGACCGTTCGGCCGTGCTCGGCCGCCTTCGGCGGCCCTCGGCTCTCCCCCCCTCGCGCCGTCCGCCGTCGCTCGCTCTCGTGCCGCCGCGCCGCGCGCGCTCACTAGCGGGGGAAGACGCGGCGCGCCGCGCGGAAGGGCGAAAGAGCGGGGGCGGGGTACGCGGGAAACACGATCTCTCTTCCTCTCTCTCTCCTTCTCGCTCTTTCGGCAGTCTCGCCGTCCTGCTCTCTCTCTCCCTCGCGCCGCGTTGGGCACCGTCGTCAAAGAGGGAACAGCTTTTCTTGATCTAACGATGTCGGCTCCGGATCGTTCCGCCGTTCGGATAGAATTCTCCCGTTTTCCGCGATTTTCGAGAAAAGACTATGCCTAGGTCGAAGGAATTTTGGTGGTAACATGGTACGAGAGAACGCAACGATGGGGTACCTACCTATCGTGCCTCGGCAGTTTAATTTTAAACAAGCTCGTTTATATTTCTTTATTCGTTAAATAGATGGAGATTCTAGTGATCAATATTTCGCAACAAAATATAAATGCGATTCTTACTAATGTTATAACTTGCGTTACGAAATTATTAAAACTCGATTGAATAATAATTGACGATTCGCCGAACGCGTCTTGTAATCCATTATTAGCGAGAATCATTTAAAAAACATTTATATGCGAAATATATCTATTAGGTATGTCGTAACTCGTTTACGCGCGAAGCCGCAAGCCGCAACGTCGCCGATTATACGAATGGTTTTTCCTCGTACCCACACGTAGGTGCAACCCAGCAATTTTCGCGCGAGGAGAGAAAACAACGACGCGGTCGAAACGCGGCCCGTCCCGTGCCGACGAACCCCACGAATTCGCTAATACGCAAAAACCTAGCTGAATCACCGCGCGCCGGCCTTGACGCGTATAAAAATCCCGAACCGTGGACACGGAAGGATGAGATCCTGACCTCCTGCGACCTAATTCCAACGGGCACCGTCCTCGGCGTGGAGAAGCTTGGGAAAGGTCGCGCACGCTGTGAAACATCATGCAAAAACCCGCCCCTGAAATGGTTCACGAATTCCTGGGGAATTTCTTCGGCGGACGCGGAAGGGAGGTAAAAAAAACAGTCCTAGGATAAAAAGTCACCCGCCGCGAAGGGGTCGGCGAACCCACGCAGATATATTTTAACAAGCTGATGTCCTCTCTCCTCTCTCTCCACTTTGCCTTCGCTTAGAGCGGCAGTAAATTTATAGATTTTACACGCGAATCGCGAGCATTCACTCGAAACAAACGTTAAAAGGAAAGCGTGTCAACGTTAAGATTTTATTACATTCTGTTAAGATTAGATTCGGTTAACCCGGAAACGAGCATCTGGAGTGATTTTTACATCCCCAGTGTCGAAAAAATTAAGCTCACGTCATCACAATAATTTTAATAATTCGTTTTTTTTATATTTTTAGGTTTCTCCTTTTTTT